AAACCATATAAAGCAAACAAGTATGCGGACCTTGGTGATAGCACGCTCAAAGTATTCAATGGCCTCTGCGTGCAAACTTTTCTGCAGAAGAGTCTGACCCATTACAACCAATGCTCTTACATATTCCGGATCCTTCTCAAGGGCAAGTCTGTTTTCGAAAAATTCTCTATTCAGTACACGATTAACAAGTGATATGATAAAATATGCACTGTGATTTGTACGGAGCAATTACTTTAGCACAGGAAGTGCTCCTTCTTTATCGCCTTTTGATAAGACTTGGATGGAAAGCTGTCTCAACAATCCCAGGCATGATGTTGTAAGAAAATCTAGAATAGCAACGGATTGAAAGATAATGCACGGGCTTCTAGTTCACAAACACTTACATTAAGCAACTGTTTAGGGGACAGGTTCTGTAAATTTATTTTCTTCCATTTTGTAGGAGAAGCCAAGGGTGATATATCAGGAGTACCCGCCTCCTCAGGATTTGGAGTGACTGTAGGAGCATCCTTGTCTGGCAACCCCAACTTTGCCCGTAGAGCAGGATCTTTGAGAGCTAATTGCTGAAAAGACAGCAAGATTTAGAAGGAAGCTAGTTTTATGATACTCATTTACAAAGTATAGTTAAAAAGTTTTAGCCCATCATCCATTAAAATTTATTTATGAAGAAGCACTAATAAGAAAGTTTCATGTACCAAGATAAAAAAGAAATCAACCAAAGTAACAAATTTGTATCCTCTACTTAAAGGCATGTTAAACAAATAAGTACAGTTTACTCACCTGAATGAGACTTAGTGAGCTATTCGTAGCCCAATAAACTAGGCTTCCCTACAAAATAACGTAGATGTGTATGTCAAAAAGCTTCTGGGGCCAGCATAGAGAACAATCACGTGAACCAAAATATCAAAGCGTAATTTCACAAACTTGTAAAGACAAAATACAAATTTACCTGAGGAACACAGTAGGTAATAAATAATATAGGGAAGGTCATCACATCCAAATAACGCTTGTAGTACTGCAGAAAGATAGAGAACCCTAATCAATTGTTCGCAAACAAAACTACTTCTAAAACAATATGACTACAACCTTTATTAACAAGAAAGGGAGGGGCTTTAGTAAGCAAACATTCTCGTTAGTAAGAATACTGTATGTACTCACGTTTGCTAATATGTCCAACAGGCCACTGGATTTTCCTACTGAAGAATTCTTAAAAGAAATCTGATGATTTGAAGAGATAAACATCAGTTACAATCATAAAATGTATATACAAAACAAAAATGCATATAATCAGCTACAAAAACACTGCAAAAGAGCCAAATTTGATCCAGCATTGAGTTAGATTGCCTTCCAATGATCATTAGATCTTTAATTTCCCTTATTGCCTCTTGACTTGCATCAACCACAGTACAATAAGAATCACACATCAAAGCTCCCGTAAATGGGGCAATGAGAGCATCATCTTTGCATTTTAAAGTTCTTTGAAACACGTTTGACCATATAAATAATATAATCATCCAGAAGGTTGATATAACATAGAGAATCAAGATAGATAAAAACATAAAATATTTAAATCTGAAATCAACAGAGACCAATTCCATGATTCACTACCTGAACATTGGCATAGTGCAAACCAGCAATCAGAAAAGGAAAGATGGAGCCAAGAACACCACGAGGTAATTCAGTCAAATTGCTGAACCACAAGGCGCCACCCTGAAATGAAATGAATGAATTCTACGCTCATCTGCTTTCAACGCTAAAAGAGAAGAGAAAATACACGTATGCCATAAAACTCAAATAAGATACATTATTTCAACAACTAAAAGGAAAGCGTATGTGTCCTTACGCAATCAAATCCATGATGATTGCCCAGTGACATAGTCCGAATGGTGTTCAACCACAGGAGAAAGCATGGAACCTGACAATGAATTAGAAAACAGAGAAACAGCATTATTAAAAACTTTTCTATTCAACGTTACATATTGCTTATTCTTTGTGCTAGTAGAAAAACTAACACATCTTTTTCTTCCAACCATTGCCCAAACTTTTCTTTAGAACTCCTAGTTTCACCAAACCCTTCAACTATATTAGTAAGGTTGCTACGCTCACCAAGCTTGCAAACTCATCACTTAACTGTGTCCTTTATCATCTTAGCACTCATTTATTCGACACATATGAGTAGTCCAATATACAATACTAGACTGATGGCTTTCTAAATGAAATCTTTTCTAGGTTCACATCCATCATCCAGCAATAGAATCACTCTCTCTTCCCTAAACCCAAAAATCAGATAAGAGAGTTACCTGAACAGAGAAGAACGCAAGGAACCATAACATCGAGGGACACCCGATCGCCTTTCTTTCTTTTTGAAATAGAGAAATTTGATTAATATAACTCTTTCCTGAGAAGAGTGGTGGCATTGGAGGAGGCACTATGAGAAATGTATATATGTTAAACAAAATTTTACAAATATGAATACAAAGTATACATAACATACTGCAAGTTATGATATTTTCGTGCGAACCAAATGCAGAACACAAAAGTTCAACTAAATGCTAGTCCAGACCAGGGTCGGAGAATAGTAATGCATAGAACAGAATTGCAGTGTTTGTGTTCGTATGAGTAAAAGTGAAATTACAACAAGCACACAAAAGAATTGAAGTGGAAATCTAAATCTCACATTTGGGAAATAACTCTCCAATCCTTTTCAACTTTTGCAGTTGCACGATAAGTAACGGGAGCAACGAAATTCTCATAGCCAAAGTAGAGGACCCAATAACTATCCACCTGATGATAATTTAGAAACACAAAAAAACGAAATTACAAACTATAACTATTGAAGCCAAAAAGACAATAAAAATTTCATTTCTTGTTCTTGTGCTTTCCCACATTTTCTGTTTGGAAGGTGCTTTTATAGTCGCTAAAAGCACTTTCAGATAGCCAAAAGCGTTTCGAACAATGATTAGCAGAAAGATACAAACTTTTAAATTTCAAAACAAAACGAAAATTTCAGTTCTTTTTCTAGTTCTTTCCCACATTATCTCAACCCTGTTTGGAAGTGCTTTTAAAATAGCTACAAGCACTTCCAGATCACCAAAAGTGCTTCCAACAACGGTTAGCAGAAACAGTTAAAAGTGCTTCTGGGGCAGAAATGCACCTGGAATTGCTCTGTGGAAAAAACACTTGGGATGTGCTACTTTCAGGAAGCACTCCGGATTTTTATTGAAAATTTTCAATGCATTTCAAAAACAAAAGCAGAAATCTTTCGATCAACACTCACCATGGCAAACCAGTGAGATCATGGAACCCGTCGAGCACCGAAATCAGCACTCGAACGGGAAGCACGGAGTCTTCGCCAGAAAAGCAACCTAAACTCAGAAGCTCCGACTGAGTCGCCGCCGGGTCGACGGCGGAGAAGCCGAGCTGATCAAAATCGGAGTCATCGGAAGAGCTGGTGGAGATAAATCGAGAGTGGGAGAAAGCGAGGGATTGAGCAAGCGCGTGGGAGTTCCGTGGAGGCGAGTGGCGGCTGTGGTCTTTGGGATTAGTGTTTGTGAGGACGTGAAATTGACGCGCGTGAGAAAGAGTGGGGAGGAAGTTGAAGGCGGAGGGGCGTATGCGACGGAGGTGGGAGGAGAGCTTGGAGGAGGTTGCCATTAGTGGTGGATTCGGAACGATGCGGAGGAGTAGGGTTTTGTTTCTTTGCCTAAAATGGTGAATCTACCGGCTCACGCTGATTTCACTTTGTCCACTTAATTGACGAAATTAAAATTTGCTAAATTTTTCACTTATTTTTTGGCTTTCGGCAATGTTTTAGGTCTGATTATTATATTTTTTACTTATTTATTAGCATTTTTTACGCTAATTTTCTAAGTGTGAAAACCCGTTTTGGAAATGTTTTGGGTCTGGCTACTATATTTTTCACTTATTTTTTAGTTTTAGGCTTACAAATTCCACTACATATGTATTTGTTGTTCAACAAATCATAAAACTGCTGCCAAATGCCTATAAAGTTTTCCTTGATGCTGATGGAAAAAATTTCATGAAAATAATAAAATATATTTTTCACAAAAAAAAAAACGTAAGTTGGCAATCACGGTTTTAGTCGGTTTTGCAAATTTGTTCAAAAATCGTCAATCTATTTGTTTTTACCTTCACCTCATCCTGAGATTTCTAAAACTAATGTAAGACTTTTTGTTGATATTATTGAGGGTTGAAACCTATTTTGCAATGTTTTGGTGCTTGCTACTATATTTTTAATTTCTTTTTTATTTTTCGGCTTAAATATTTGCCAAATCTACATTTGTTGCTCAGTAAATCGTAAAACCACTTTCAAATATCTTATAAAGTTTTCTTTGATACTCACGGAAAAATTTGCGCAAAAACTAAAAATTTGCGTTTAAAAAAAAAGAACATTAGTTAATACTCACCGCTTTTTGTCGATTTTGCAAATTAGTACAAAATCATCATTGAATATAATTTTTTTCACCTTCACCTCATTGTGAGGTTTTTTAAATTAATATGACTTTCGTTGATATTTTTGAAGATAAAACACCGTTTGCAATGTTTTGTGACTTGCTACTATATATTTCATTTATTTTTTTTTAATTTTTAGCTTAAATATACATTTGTTGCTCAATAAATCATAAAATCACGATTTTAGTCGATTTTATAAATTCGTACAAAGATCATCCGTTTTAGGAGGAGATTTAGGAGATCGGATAATTAAATTAAAACAGCTGGGAGCACTCGAATTAATGTCATAATATACTTCACTCGATAAATCATATTGCATTAAGATACAAACAATACTTGAAACACTTTAAGAAGTCATGCGGTCAAACAAATGAAAAATGACAAGAAATTGCTATAAGCCTCCACTAAATGTCTACAACTGTTACCTTTAGGTGTACAATATGTTACAACACAAGCCTGATGATTTCCAACAGATCGCTTCTTCAGTTACATCTCTATATCGTCCAGGTCGGGTAGAGGGAAACTGTAGATTTTTATGTTCAAAAATATATGTCTTTCGTATATATTAAGAGTTAACAACTAACTCATATATATGAGTAGTAAAGAACCGGTTACAACCACCCATCCCTATACAAAACTCTTGGGACAACACAAAGATAAAAAACTGAGAGGACTTATAATACTAACAGCTCCATAACCTTCTCCATGCTGCCCGTGCTTGTCTTTGTCGAAGACCACACATGATGTGGAGATAGAAAGCTGACAGAACAAGAATATATGCTGCCCGTGCTGCATGTGCTTGAGTTTATTATACAATATTCAATGTCCATACTTCTTGGTTCCAACACCCCCCCTCAAGCTGGATCAAGGGGATTTATTGAGCCAAGCTTGCCCAGAAGACGATGAAACTGAGCAGATGGTAGTGCTTTGGTGAATAAGTCAGCCAATTGATCATAACTACGAGTGAACACAGTGTGAATGACCTGAGATTGAACCTGAGATCGAACAAAATGACAATCCACCTCTATATGCTTCGTTCTTTCATGAAAGACAGGATTAGCAGCAATGTGCATGGCTGCTTGATTGTCACACATAAGTGGTATGGAGTTGGAACAATGAAACCCTAGATCAGATAGAAGACCTTTGAGCCAAATAAGCTCACATGCAGTGGCTGCCATTGCACGATACTCAGCTTCTGCACTAGACCGAGCAATGACCTGTTGCTTCTTGCTTTTCCAAGTTACAATATTGCCTCCAACAAACGTGCAATAGCCTGTTGTGGACCTTCTATCAATGGCATTGCCTGCCCAATCAGCATCAGTGTAACCACTTATGCTTGTGGATTGGTTATTTTGCATGAGAATTCCCCGTCCAATGGACCCTTTAAGATAACGAAGGATCCGTTTGACAATGTTGAGATGATCAACGGTGGGAGAATGCATAAATTGACTAACTATGCCCACTGCATAGGTGATATCAGGACGAGTAATGGTGAGGTAAATTAACTTACCAACCAGTCTTTGATAATAACTCACATTATGAAGAGCTTCCCCATACATAGTAAGCTTGAGCTTGCTGTCAATTGGAGAGGTTGCAGGTTTGCAATCAAGAAGATTTGTCTCCTTGAGAAGATCAGTTACATATTTTCTTTGATTTAGGAATAGTCCTTTGGATGAGGTAGCCATTTCTATGCCAAGAAAATACTTAAGCCTCCCAAGGTCTTTGATGGCAAAGGTCTCTTGTAGAGATTGCTTTAAGGCTGCAATCTCAGTTTCACTTTCACCTGTGATTATGAGATCATCCACATAGATAAGAATCATCAATCTTCCTCGCATTCCTGTTCGAACAAATAGAGAGGAATCTGCATTGCTTCTAAGAAAACCAGCCCTTTCCAACACTGAGCTGAGCTTGGCGTACCAAGCTCTTGGAGATTGCTTTAAACCGTAAATAGCCTTGTGAAGTTTGCAGACCATACCATTTTGGGCTTGAATATAACCTGGTGGAGGTTGCATGTACACTTCCTCTTGTAATTCTCCATGTAGAAATGCATTTTTTACATCCATTTGATACAAGGACCAACCAGAATTAACTGCCACAGACAAGAGAACTCTGACAGTGTTCATCTTGGCTACTGGTGCAAAGGTTTCTTTGTAATCCACTCCAAAAGTTTGAGTGAATCCACGTGCAACGAGTCTGGCTTTGTGCCTTTCAATTGAGCCGTCAGCTTTGAATTTTACCTTGAAGATCCACCTGCTGCCAACAGCCTTTTTTCCAGGTGGTAAATGAACAAGACTCCAGGTTTTGTTGTCACTCAAGGCTTCTAATTCCTCTGACATTGCCTTCCTCCACTTAGATGATTGGTTTGCCTCCTGAAAGGTGCTAGGTTCAACATTATTTTCAACTTCAGTGAGAAATGCACTGTGAGACTTTGAGAAACAGTTGTAATTGAGAGTTTTAGTGTGAGGATGCCGTGAGGCATAAGTAACATAGTCCATCATCTTAGCTGGTGGCTGTCTTGTTCGAATGGGATATCTCCTAGCTTCTAGAAGTGGTGTTGTTGGTAGAGAAGGGCTTGGGTCTGTCTGAGCTTCACTTGTATGCTCACTGATAGATTGAGAGTGTAGTTGGCCCACACTTGGAATCAAGTCATCTTGAACTCCTTCAATGATTTGACCATTGTTGATGTGATCCTCTGCTAGTGTATCATAGTCAGTGACTCTTGGTAAGGGAAGCAAATCACTCAAGGTCTCATTCTCATTAATATAAGTCTCATTGCTTTTATAGTAGGGCATTGTTTCATCAAAACGAACATCCCTTGACACAATACATTTCTTTGTGATAGGGTCAACACATTTGTATCCCTTCTGAGTTGGTGAGTACCCAACAAAAATGCACTTCACTGCTCTAGCTTCCAATTTATCACGATGAGGTGCTTGCACATGGACAAAGCAGCTGCAACCAAACGTTTTAAGATGCGCCAAGTTGACTGCCCTATTGTTTAGAGTTTCATGTGGAGTTTTGAACCCCAATACTTTACTTGGAAGTCTATTAATTATATAGGTAGCAGTGAGAACAGCATGTGACCAATATCTTTTGGGAACATTCATATGCAGCATTAGAGATCGAGTTTTTTCAAGCAGATCTCTATTCTTCCTTTCTGAGACCCCATTTTGTTGGGGTGTCCCTACACAACTGGTTTGGTGAACAATCCCTTGTGAACTCAAGTACTGAATCATGTTATTGGACAGAAACTCAGTGCCATTATCTGACCTAAGCACCTTAATATTTGAGTTGTATTGAGTTTGTACAAGTTTATGGAAGTCTTTAAATATGCAGAAAACCTCACTTTTTGATTTCATAAGGTATAGAAAGGTAGTACGAGTGAAATCATCAACAAATATGACAAAATATTTGTAACCATCCATTGATTCAATTGTAGGTCCCCAAACATCCGTGTGTACTAACTCGAATGGTTTACATGTCTTAAAAACAGAAGTGACAAAAGGTAGTCTGACTGACTTTGAAAAATGACATGTTTCACACTCAAAGGGTGATTGACAAAAACCGGGAAACAATTTTGACAAAACAAGTTCAGATGGGTGAGCAAGTCTTTGGTGCCAAAGTTGTTGATGTTCAAAATACTTGGTTCCAGCTTGAAACGCTTTAGGCATGACTGAGTTTTTGCACAGGTAGTAGAGACCATTAAGGAAGAACCCTTCACCAATCACTTTCTTGGTGATGACATCCTGAAAAACGACGTTGTTTGGTGAGAAAATGACATGGCAGTTTAGGGAGCTTGTTATCTTTCCTACTGAAAGTAATTGAAAAGGAAATGAGGGAACATATAGGGCTAATGACTCATTATTGTTTGTGAGTATACTAGCTTTTCCCTTACCCAAAACTGACACATTTTTTCCATTTGCAACTGACACTAGTGAGGGGTTTTTGAATGCTTGAAAATTATGCAGATTTGAAAGTTTGTTTGTCATGTGATCAGTGGCACCTGAGTCAATTATCCAACAATCATATTCAGTGCTTGTTTGTAATGCAGTGGAGAAAGCATTGAGAATACCTGAAACCTCTCCTTGTTCTGCAGATTTGTTATTGGCAAGAAATCCTGCAAACTGCCCCAGCATGGCAGCGTGTTCTCCATCCTCCTTTTGTAAGTTTGATGCAGTATTCCCATGATCCTTGGTTTGCAAGTACGCAACAAATTCTTTTATAAGTGTCACAGGACTTGTAGTGAAGTCCATGGATCCAAAAGAACCCCCAGAGGTGACGTTTGCTGCATGATGACTCTTGAAATGGCTTGTTTGTGAAGGTTTTGATGGAATCATCTTCCCATCTTTGGTAAATTTGGGCTTTAACTCGGGATGAAGGATCCAACACTTTTCTTCCACGTGACCAACACCATTACAGTAGGTACACTTGAGATGGTAATTCTTACCTTTGTATATTTTGTGGTTTGCAACATAGGCTAGAGCTTCAGTTGGCCTTGAGCTAGACTCACCATTCATGGCTTTCTTCCTAGCTTCTTCACGTTGGACAATACCACACACACTTTTGAATGTTGGCAGTTCTTGACTCATAAGTATATGGCTTCTGAGATCCTCGTACTCAGAACTTAAGCTTCCCAAGAGTTGGTATATCTTATCTTCCTCCCCTCTCTTTAGTAGCGTATTTGCATCTGTGGTGTGTGGAAGATACATATCCAGTTCATTCCACATGGTTTTGAGCCTGCCAAGGTGTTGTACAAAGGACTTCCCATTTTGTTGAATGCATGCAATGTCTTTCTTCAGTTGGAACACCCTTGCATAATTGTTTTGATTTCCATACATGTCCTTCACCGAGTTCCACAAATCTTGTGAGGACTCTGAGTAGCTAAAAATTTCTGCAACATGCTTCTCCATAGTATTGAGAAGTAAGGACATGACGAATTGATCTTTGCAGAGCCAAGTCTCATAGGTTGGTGAGGTGATATCAGGAGCTTCGATGCTTCCATTTATAAAACCAATTTTTCCTTTTCCTCCTAGAGCAAGTGAAACTGCACGAGACCAAGGTAGGTAGTTGAACTCATTCAGCAAGGCTGAACACAAACGCTGATTGGTGTTAACCTCAGTGTCTGAAAAATTTGAACAAGAATTACGGGAGGTTTTATCCTCAACATTTACTGAATCTTCTTCAGCCATGGCTCAAGGTTGAAGGAGAGAAGCAGCGGAAAGAAATGGCCAGAGACAGGTTAAAGAAGGACCCGCTCTGATACCATGTAGATTTTTATGTTCAAAAATATATGTCTTTCGTATATATTAAGAGTTAACAACTAACTCATATATATGAGTAGTAAAGAACCGGTTACAACCACCCATCCCTATACAAAACTCTTGGGACAACACAAAGATAAAAAACTGAGAGGACTTATAATACTAACAGCTCCATAACCTTCTCCATGCTGCCCGTGCTTGTCTTTGTCGAAGACCACACATGATGTGGAGATAGAAAGCTGACAGAACAAGAATATATGCTGCCCGTGCTGCATGTGCTTGAGTTTATTATACAATATTCAATGTCCATACTTCTTGGTTCCAACAGAAACGAAGGATTGCAGCAATGCCAGTTATCTGCGCCAGTTCTGTTCATATGATACGACGATTTAGAGAGTTTGGTTCAGGAATTTTTTGAAGTGACAGATACTTGTAGCAGCATTCGTATGAACAAACGATGGAAAAACTTACGTTCTCCCGAAACATGCAAAGAAGAAAAGATATGAACGGTGCCCCCTGAATCCTTCACTGACTTCACCAAATTGGCATACCTTTGCCTCGCTACTACATCGGCATTCCTGTCCATCAAGAAATTCTTAATGTTGCAGACCTTTAAACTCATATATGTTTTCTCCACATTTCTCCTGTAATGAAAAGAACATTTGGACCAGTTCATTATTGGTAAAGAAGACAATCAAACTAACCTGAAGAGTTCATCCGTTATCAAAAGGGTTTGGACAGCCATTCGATCATGAGCAACTTCAACATGCTTCGGTCCATAGCATGCACGATCCGGATCCTGCACAATAACAACAGTAAAAATTACAGAGAATGTTGGAGGAAAACGTAGATGAAATACGATAAAGCTTTTCTCCAAGCACAAAAATTCTACGAGTAAAAATTACAGAAATTTAATCCCTCCGACAGACTAACAGGCACATTAACCTTTGGGTTGGATGGCGTAACTACTGAATTGAAGCTGCCCTGTCGCTCATTTATGGTTGTTACTCTCTATCCTAATCTTAGTTCTCGTACTATGACCATGTTTAAAGATCTTCCACTCAATATATATCATGAATCAATCAAATTTCAGTGCTCCTAAAAAGGTATTACCCACGTTTTTTGGTCTTCAACTATCACTGGTTTTGTAAACATGCTTATCAAGATTAAGCCTCCAATCATTGATCCAAAGGTTCGTCAGTTGGCATCCAAGTATAACTTTAAATTAAAGCAACAATTATATATTTCAGTTTAGAACCTGACATTTGAAAGCATGCCAAAGAAATCTTGGAGAACTCGAACCTGAAGAAGAAAAGGCCCCATACACACTGTTACTTTTCTTTAGTTTGGCAATGACAAGTAAAGGAGTTAAAAATATTAACCAAGTTGGGTGTTGTACCTCTTGCGCCGCTTGAGTATCTTTTATCATATTCATCACATTTGGAGCATCTAGAACCTCCCTTAAGCTATGCCTGTCATTGCAAGAAGATAAAATGCACACTTGTAAATTAAGATCGAAAATCATAGACAAGAAACTGCAATGGTGCATTGATTCTGTAAGTCAGCAACAAGATTAAATAATAATGAGTAAAAGAGCATCACAGGTACTGGATGTATGATGAACTGGTAAATTCCCAGCGACCCTTTAAAATACTAAAATTAAACATGATGTGTTCCTGGCACATTGCTAAAAAGTTACACCTGTAGTCAGTAATCCCAACTCCCAAGTACTCATTATTGAATATGAAACATTGAATGCAGACCACTCCAGCAACGAATAATGAACAGTTGGAAATGAAAATGATACAAGAACAAGGGTAAATCAAGAACATTTACAGCACAAATATGGTAGTAGTTTGAACACGTGACCATACTTGTAACCTGAGCTTGTGTGCACAAGAATAATCCGCGACTTGTTCTCAATAATAGTTCTCAGCTGTTTTCTTTCTGCTTCCAATAATAGGTGACGATGAAACTGATCCTGAAGCAGATAAGAATGCAGATTAGGATCAAACAAATTGCATTACGCTTTATATATAGTCAGTTCATAAAACCAGGTAAAGACTGATTCCACAAGTAACCAATTTAAGAAGAAATCTCTATCTGTAGTGCTAAAAATAGTCCACTAGTAAAAATAACGATTGAAGGCAATTCGCAATTTCACACTAAATGAGTTTCAAAAGCTCATACTGAGTCATATCACACCTTTGTGAAACCTGGACTTGCAATCACAGCACAGCGAACAACACTGAAATCAACGTGCTTCAAGAATGCCTATCGATATACAAAGTTGTATCATTAGATGCAAGCTATGTTTGACAGTGTGAGGAGCTTCCGAGTAAAACTCAACTTGAAATTACCTGTAACACGTTCTCAAAGAACTTATTCAAAGCCTATAAAAAACAGAAAGATATTAGTAATACAATAAGTACAGAAACTCGTTTAACATCATTCTTGCCAGATAACTTGATGTCAGGAAAAACAAATTCTAAAAAGGTCGTACCCAGTGCACAAGGCTCCCGCTTTACGCAGGGTCTGGGAGAGGTGAATGTCGGCTAGCCTTACCCCCATTTATGAAGAGGCTGCTCCCAAGTCTCGAACCCGAGACCTACCGCTCATGGGCGAAGGCACTTGCCATCGCACCAAGTGCGACCTCTAGGAAAAACAAATTCTAAAAAAAAAAAAACATACCGACTCATAACCTGCAATCCCAGGTCCGTGCTTGCGAGGAATTGAAGTTTCTATTCGCGAACGAGTAATTGTCATACTGATAGATATAGTTGCAAGAACATTAGTCTCATAAGGTCATAATTTTTCAGGTGCATGGTAAGTATAGGATAACACTGCATATGCTTAATCTTGACTTTGGAGCTTTTTATGAGTGATATTTTCAAAACCACAATTTCATAATGAAAGTCCAAAAATAAGTTAATCAGAAGATTTTAACCAATCTGTCAGGCAGTTTCCTAACACACATTTCAAGGATATAACCAAGATCCTAATGCAGAGAACTACCAGAAAAATGGGGGAGAGTAATGTGGCTAGGGTCCTAGGGATGGGCAATGGGTCTGCATGGATACTCCACCATCACCATCACTCATCACCATTCAAACGAATCATGTTGGAAATAAAGTTAGGCACACCTTTTACCAATAAGGAGAATATGTGCTAATCCTTCTTGCATTAAAACCACAGCTAGATCAGCACTTGCACTCGGATCTGAAAATTGTAGAAACAAGACTACCACATAAATACAAGACCCTAAACATTAATGTCCATCCCTATAATAAGAGGGAGGAGGTTCCACTATGCATTGTATCATTGGTATTTAAGTAAATAACTGAGGCTTTCAGGTAGTACATTCCTTTGTCACATTGGACTACCTGAGACTGGAAAGGACTAAAACCCTTGCATAGGCTTATGCCATTGACGAAGACAGACACGAAATGAGACCATTTTAGTAATTGGCCAATATCACAAGAAAGAGAATTAGAGTATATACTGGAGGCTTGATGGAGTTCGTGCAAGGCCAATGAGTCCCAGACATCCTAAAACATATGACATAGCATGACACAAGTCAATGCATTGGATTACAGGTTTATATCACATGAAATTCAAAGAATCCAACAGAAAAAATAAATATGGATTGTTATAAACTTGTACAGATTAACAAAAATTAAACCTTTCTTAAGACAAAAGGTCGGTGCAGCTCAAGCTCCAAAGTGTGAAATGCTCCTATCTGCATTAAGAAGATGAGAGGCTTAGAGCAGAACTTAAAATTTGCAAATTGGTCAGTACTAAATTCAATTTAAGACGATATTCACCTTTACATATTCATTCTCCAGGATATTCTTCCCACGTATACGCAAGACAGCTCCTACTTTGTCATAATCAGCAACCTAAAAGGAACGTAGGAAATAAGTACAGAACACCAAACAAAAAGCATAATTAGAGCTAATTTTTCTCCATACCTCCTCGACTTTTATTTCTAACTTCAGCTTCACGCGCTCTGCATCTCTTCCACCAGCAGCCGCTTCTCTTAGAACTTTCCTATTACACAATGCATACGGTTGTCAGGAAAATTGCTACTGGATATGTTGACCAATCAAACTGGTTCCCGAGCATCACTTAATTAAAAAAGAATTCGTATACCATCTCCGCATATAAGAAAAAATACACTCAGAATTATAGAATTCGACTCGCATTGATTGCAAAGTAAAATTTGTCCTTTCTTCCTACAATTTCCAAGACAATGTTACAAGTACAAATACACTAAAATTTTCACTCAAGCTTACCCCTAAGAAAAAATATTTCGAGGAAAAAAAATAATTAATGAAAGTATTTCAGAAACAAATCCAATGCATCTAACAACTAAATTCAAATTCCTCCTATTAAAGTAAAAAATTTGAATTCAGCTGGTGTTGTAACAAGTAAATAAATTTTTTGTTACAAATAAAAATTCGACCTGCAATTAATCAATCAAATGGCGAAGGGGAAAATTGTTTTACCTAACAGTGACAGCCATGACTGTGTCTCCCGGAGCAATCAAATTATAAGCATACCACAAATCATCTGATTCTACCGGTATCATCTGCCACACCCACCAATTCAAAATCACCCAAAATTCAAATCATAATTACAGGTTTACACCAAAACCAGCAAAAACTAATCACTGTATGAACAATAATGATTATGAAATAATCAATCATAATTTACCTTAACGCTGCCGGGTCCGCCGGGAATATAGTCCTTCCGGACAATCTTCATGGTCGTGCTGTACCGGATTACTTCTCCGAACCAAATTCGAAGGAACAAAGTGTTGACCTTTGGGTATCCACCGACGACGAGGGAAGGAAGAAGAAGGACGGAAGGAGGAGCTTGAGAAGAATTCGGTTTGAGTGGCGGTAATGTTACGCCGTGCACGCGCGAAATACTCGACACGAGTTTTTCCGAGGGTAGACTTGGCGGGCCGGGCCGGGCCGGGCCCCAAGCATTTTATAAGTAATGGACTCTTGGATCGTTTACCTTGGGCTTGGTGTTATCGTGCTAATGCTCGAGATTAGTCCGCTATGTGTTACTTGACTACAATATTTATATCTATTTAATATAATTACTAATTATTATTTAACCGTCGAGATGAGATTGTAAGTATTGGACAGGGATCTTCTCCGAATCTCCTTCATCAAGTTCACCAAGTCCACTCATCTGAGTCATTTAAATTTAATCAAACAGCTAAAGTTTGCCTAGCTACAATATTTATATCTATTTAATATAATTACTAATAATTATTTAACCATCGAGATGAGATTGTAAGTATTGAACAGGATCCTCTCCTAATCCCTTCCACCAAGTTCACAAAGTCCACTCATCTGGGTCATTGAAATTTAATCAAGCGGCTAAAATTATTATAACTTTTAAAGAGGCCCCATATTTGTAGCCGTTTGATCAAATTTCAATGCTCTAGATGGGTAGACTTGTTGAAAGGGATCCGGAGAGGATCCCTGTCCGTAAGTATTAGTCAAATTTGAAACGTAGTAAGATATATATTTAACCAATGAAAATTTTAAAATACGTGATGTCGTGTAATTGATCTGGAGATATATTTAACCAATGAAAATTTTAAAATACGTGCCATGTAATTGATATTGGATTCCACAATAATTTTAGGAGGGAGTAGGTAAGTCCTTCATTTCACTTGCCTCTAAACTTTTGGTTTAGTTTATAGGTTTGTTAACCTGCTCGCCCTGCACCGGATGAATGGTGCGTTGGGCATGCTGCAAGTGTCAAGGACCCAACAACGAAGGATCAAACAGACGAGGATTCCAGCTAAACAGAAACAAAAAGCAATACTAACAACGTAACGTAGATATAGCACTGGAAGTCTGAAACAAAATTATAAGGCTTTCGGTCAATCACATTAGTTCACGAACAAAAACAGAACATGGAAGATCAAAATTCCTCCAAAAGCTCTAAGGCATAATTTAAAGATGTACTTAATACAGTGTTCAAAAGGCAAATCTAGATTCATAAACTCCAAAATTATAATCAGAACACTACTCATTCTTCGAAGCTGACGACCTCCTCTACCTGGTTTATCACCTCCTCGACCTCAATAGCTTTAGCCTCGTACTCCTCTTCCTCATCACTTGCTTCTCCGTCCCTAAGATTTTTCCTTGCCTCTTTCTCTTCTTCGTGCCTCTGCTTCCAGTGAGCCACCCACTTCTCCCATTCCTCCTTCAACATTCTTCTCTTCTCACGATCCTGCTCGCTCAAGAAGATTGAAACATCTTGGTCCTCAGCCTCGTACTTCTTGCTGTACTTCTTCAAGTTCTTTGCAATCTCCTCCTCTTTCTCAGGAGTCAGCAATGATGGTGGCCTTGGGCGCCATAAGAACTACAACAAAGGGCTTAGCAGTTAGAGCATGACATCTATTACAACTAGAATTTATCTACTATCACAAAGGGCTAGTACTTCCAAATCTATCATCACAAACTTCATCATACACCACTACGACATTACAATGAGAAAGAATAATTCGTAAAGTAAAACTATTTTAGACCCAATTTCTTCATTTCTTTTTCTGTTGTAAGAACCTTGATGTAATAGAGATGATTAAAGTTTTTTAAAGAATGAGTAACATGACAAAAATAATGAGCATGCGAATAAGATTTAGTGCCTCCTCTATAATGGCGTTACCTGAAAGAAATGATCCTTTAGTGTCCGATAAAGTAGCTTGCCATTGAATGTCCAGATGTTGAAGCCGTTCTCCATCTCATGGACTGAGGTCACTGCAGTAGCTACGTATCTGAAAGACAAAATTAGCATGTAAAAAATCAGGACATAAGTAAGAAGCCAACGGAATAGTAAGAGATCCAAAATTATACCTTCCAGTCGGATCCCATTCAATATCTGTCGCCATGAAATGTTCAGCGGTGGCCATGGTTTCCAGCTCATCGACATTGTAAAACTCTAGCTGCCCATTAAAACCTTTCAATCCTGCCAAAATGATGAAGCGCCCGGTAGGTGACCAGTAGAGAGCATTTGCCTGCTTTCCTTTGAGAGTAGTGAGCTTCGAAACACGGCCAGTATTGTGAGCACTTCGCATGGAGTAGAAACTTATGTCGGGCCTTGGGTTGTTATTCGCGTTCGTGTTATCACAATGAATTACTGCGAACCTGTGGCCCTTAGGCTCCCAAGCGAATGCAATAATTTTGTCATTTTTATTCTCCAATTCCAAGACTTCAATAGGAATGTCCCGCTCCTTGATTCTGAAAAGCTCAAATCCAGTGTATGTGCTTTTCTTTGTTTTGGTGTAGCGATCAACTTTAACAGCTAGATACTCCCCGTTGCTCTGCCAGTACATTTTGCAATCGCTGACGCTGAAAAGATTCTTCTGCCGCAACTCCTCCTTAGAGGGGATTTGAACAAGACTCACCTATTTGTATCAGTGAAGCATTGGTTTAACTACCCTGAAGTGAAATACAGAAAAGGGAAAAAAGAAAAGACCAAATCTAGCAAAACAGACAGTAAAATGAAACAAGATACACACCCTCGCAGGCTGGTTGCCACCACCCAGTTCAGGAACAAATAGCGCAAGAATTGGATCAGTTGGTGACCAACTGAAGTCCATAACATTTTCCACCTTCATTGACTTTTTGTCTACAAGGGAAAATGTCTCCGTTTCATATACAGAGATGACGTTTTTTCCCATTCTGGCAAAGTACTTGTCATCTTTTCCCCCGGCCCATCTGCAAATTTAAGAGAAAATGTGAAGGCATTAGAATACTGAGCAACACAAACTCTCAAATTCACATTTGTGTCATATAAACTTACTTGAAAACAGGCCAAGACACCCCGGCAACACCTCCAGCTCCTCCAATAGCAAAATCATCTGGGCTTCCTTTAAAATCTCTCATTACTTTTCCGGTCCTCACATCAAAAATGTTTATCACTACCCTCTGCAAAATAACTTCACATTAGAAACAGAAACAAGGCAAAAGAAAAATCATAAAAAGTACTGAATCTCACTCACATTTGCATCACGAGGATTGCTTGGTTCATGGCTGCTGTAAGTCACCAAGTATTTCTCACCAGGTGAGAAATCAATCAGTCGAACCTGCAGTTGACAGTTAGAGGTAAGTACCCAAAAAAATAAATACAAATACTAATTAAAATTGTAACCAAAAACCAAAAACAACCTGGGAATGAGCATAACGCATCAGACGATTGAACGTAGAGGCGCCTCCCCAGACTGCAACACCCAGTCTGTGAACAGTGGCCAGGTAAGTCCCTAGAGGGGACCACTGCACGAAGCTCTCAGTCCAGAACTGTAACAGACAATACATATGATTATTCGCGATTGAAATATTCAATATAAGAGAAGTGACTGTTTAGAATAAAAAATTAACAATGTGTAAGGGGAAATACACATCCACTTACAGTGCGTTTGTAGAACGGTTCCGGCTTCAGGTGCCTTGCATCATTCCATAGCACTTCTGTGTCCGCACCATAACGAATGACCATTTGGTCCCTGGCCTTTTCGTCAGTCAGCCACTGTTGAAGGTTTTCCTGTAATGATGTCCAAGGAGATAATATAATAAATACTAGAGCTTATTTTCAATGCATGATAGCCAAAAGTGATTGATTAGAGCATAATTACCCCTGGAGTATACGGTTTACTTTCAGGAGGGGCCCATTGATCCGGAACTTTCATGAACCGATCAAAGTCGTCAAACATGTTCACAACAAAAATATGTGATCGATCCAGCTTGTATCCATGAGTCCTCTCTTTGGCAAGCTCAGCTTCCTACAATTACAACAAAGCAAGTTCACATATCAATCATTCACACCTATCAATCGGCCAAATTTCGTTTGAAACACAAAAGACGCACAAAATGTCATTTCTAAGAGAAAAGATACCTGAGGAGTATTAAACTCAAGGAAGCAATAACCCAAGGTTTTATTGGTTTCGGGGTCAAGAGGCATCCAAAAGCCATCGTCTTTGATCACACCAATCTGACTGTAGATTTTACGAATGACGTTTTCGAGTTTCTCAAACTTTTCCAAAGGAACAACAGGGAGGTTATCAACAACAATTATGCTGCCAAACCCTGAGTCCAACTCCGAATTGTCCACTTTGTATACATCCTCATCGTCACTACGCAACCATAAATATAAATCAATCAACTAATTCAAATAAACATTCAAATCACGCTGCTACAGAGCAAAAACACAAAATTTATGAATTCCAAACAGCGAAATCTTGCTATCAAATTCGTGGAAACGATAGGGTTCCGGAAAAAACGAATCATGCTATCAAATCAAATCTCTGGAAAGTTAGGGATTGGTTCGGAGCTAGGGTTACCTGATAATGCCAAAGTCTTCGCCGGGAGGGAGGCGGATGGAATCGAGGTCGAGCTGCGAGAGGTCAATTCCGATTCGGGCCGCCGTCGCCTCTATGTCGTTGTACGCCATGACGTCCGCCATGTTTATGTCGGAGAAGCCGGAGATTCGAGAGGGCTCGCGCAGCAGTGCAGCGGAGGTGGAGAGTGCTTTTTAGGGTTTTGTTGCGACTGTGTGCGTAAGCTGTCGTTTGCGTTGCGGATGCGTTTGCCTTTTCTCGGTTCCTACGAAATAAAACGAAACTATAAATATTAATGTTTATTTTCAAGCCCAACAAAATAAGGCCACGACTATCATGGGCCTAGAAATTGTCCCCAAAACTGTGGAGCTAGAGCCCAATAAATACTAGCCACGTGCGCGAGTCTAAAGGTGCCCAGTCGGAATGTGTTTTAGGATTGAATAATGTTACGTAGATTAAATTTTTAAAATCAAATTACAAATCAAATGACGTGTCATCAATAAAAAACAAGCATCTTAATCGACATTTAATTATTAATCCAATCATCTACAACCACATTATTTAGTTTGCAAATTTGGTTTAAAAAATTTAGTCTACTTAGTATTACTGTTTAGGATTTGTTTGAAATTTCTTTTGAAAAATAACAAACGCTTCTAATTGCAATTAGTAAAAAAACGAAAACGGTTCTCGTTGTAAAAGCATTTTTGGATTCATAAAAAGGTTTCTCAGTATCCGCTTGTGTGTAGTAGGAAAAACTTTTAAGAGTTTTAGGTCATGGAAGGGTGTTTATGAAGTGATTGTTTGTGCTTTTTCGAAAAGCAATTAAATTTTTAATAAAATTTATACATATTCATAATAAAAATGTTATATAATAAGTGTCTTTAATATAAACAATTCGCAAAGCGTAAAAAATTCAAGGACTAAACAGTTTTAGAAATTCAAGTGACATTGATTCATTGTAATTTTTCCTTGAATTTTTAGAGAGAGTCTAGATCGTCCAGCGAAATTCATGAATGAAACAAAATCGAAAACTGCAGAAGATAAGAAAATGAAGAAAGAAGCTGAAGATGTAAACTCACTTGGTCTACAGACTACTTTTATTTTGTTCATTCACGTCTAAAGCCCGGAGAAAAGCAGCATCAATATTGGATGCGATTTCGTAGAAGATTAGAATGTCACTACTGTTTGTTATCAAGGAAGACAGATTAGTCTAGTCTTATATGGTATGAAGGAAGATAGATTAGTCTGTCATTAATATATGGTTTTATCCACATGACGTCATTGTTTTGTATTAAATTTGAACTTGAAGTATACATTATTTGGAAAAAAGTTGTTAGGGAGACTCTCTCAACAATTAAACTCTCCATGAACTCTCTTTCAGCTCATGTTTTTTGCATAATATTTTATAACGTTAAACTATCAGCCGTGTTTAAAATTTATTCAATATGGTCGATATTTTGATGGAAATATTTCCAAAAAATCAGATAAAGATATAGAAGTCTATTCTAAACTTCAACTCATATTGAAGCAACAAAGTTTAGGCTAAAATTGACATATTGTCGATATTTCTTACACTTTTGTTAAATATTGAAAAAATTATTATATTTCGTCAAAGCCAATGTTTGACATAAAGTTTCATTTTAAATTTTCATGCTTGTCATCAAAAGCAACCGATATCGATATTTGATATATTCATCTATATTTTCACAAATTTATATATCAATAGTTTCACTCATATTGATATTTTTGACTATCATATAGCAGAGCGTACATAAGAGTCTCATTTTGACAGAGTTTTCTTATATGGCCTGACTAGTTTGTGGATTTTTTTGCCCAGTCAGAGGCCTTGGTGCAGGTGGTGTTGTCATGTGCAGCCACGTTGAGGACAATTATATGATCATATCCGTCTGCATGTCGCATGCAGATTTTTCTCAAGTTCTCAACGCGTGTCATCCGCCGTCTGCTTTTAAACCCTTCCTCTCCTACGAGTCATTTTTATTAGGGTTTTTGTTGCATATTTATATATGCTTTCACCTCAGCCGAAGAGCTTTTTCTGCTGGTAATTATAAATCTCCAATAGTTTTTAATTTACTTAGCTAATTAATTCATACCTGTTCTAAATTCTAATAGCCGGATTTACCATGGAATCAACTCAAGCTAAGTAGCAGCTCGCACTGATCGATCAGGTAATTAACTTTTGATTTTCATCATTTTTTCCGAGCATCATCACATCTTTTAATTATTTAATCACTCAAAAGTTGAATGAGAAAAATCAATGATTTATATTGGAATTATTTTATCATGTTTGTTAATTTCGATCTTTGTTTTTAATTTAGTTTTGATTATTTTGGACCTTGCTTACTGAATGATGCCTTTCAACTGTTGGAGGAATTTGAATTTTGAACTCTTGTTTAGATTTTTTCAATCAATTTCAATTGTAACAGGGAATTTATGTATCTCTATTTAGAAATTCCCTCTAAATTCTAAGTTTATTTTCTTCATCGAAACTCAAAATTCAAATAATTAACTGGTAATAAAATGGTTGCTATATTTGTATCCATAGGCCATGGAAGATCCAAGTGGGGAGTCCGAGCTGGAAGAAGACTTTCCAGAAGCAAACTGTGGTAAGATGAGGTGGATCTTGAACAAAGGATGGGGACTTGGGAAGAAAGTTCTGGTGACTGGTTTGGTAATTTCTTCTGCCCCAATTGTTCTTCCGCCGCTTGTGGTTATTTCCGCAATTGGGCTTGCCCTTTCTGTTCCATCCGGCATTATCTTGGCAAGTTATGCTTGCAGTGAGAAGATCATGAGCAAGTTACTTCCATATAGTGAGCCGCCTCCTTTGTTGGAAAATAATGTAACGTTAATGTCGAATAACGAAGAATTGCAGCATGACGAGGAATGGGAACGGGGTATGTGGGTAGGAGCGAAGACTGATATCGAAAAGGAAGAAGGATGGGATTGGACGGATCGACTCGAAGGCCGTGAGATGAGAGTTGAATTTGTTGATGAGGAAACTGGTGACATTATTGAGGAGGCTGCGCAAGGAAATGTAACTGAAGATGTGGGTGAAATTGAATTTGTAGAAGAAAATGGATATGAGAGGGACGTAGATGAGTCTACGGATGAGGAGGAAAAGCTAATATTGGATAGTATTTATGAGGTGAAAATTAAAGGATTGAGTGAGGATTTTAAGGATGATTCCGTACTAGATGAGAATCAAGTCGATGAGGTGTGTGGATTAGTGTTCAATGTAATTGAGGGTGATGTGCAAATGGGAGTGATACCCACTGAAGGGACTACCGTAGCAATCAAAGAAAGCGAGGGTCAAGAAAGAGTAAATGATATAGTAGAAGAGGCGGAGTTGGTGGAAGAGACGAGGGGCTTGCTAGAAAAAATTAGGGATGAAGGCAACACTGATAATGCAATGGAGATGGACAAGCGGTATGTGGGAGAAAGTGAAGGAGGTGGGGAGCTAATCAATCAAAAAGTTGGTTCAAATGCTGAAGAGATTGAGATACCAGTTGAAGCTAGAATTGCTGACATTGGATCGCAAGAATCAACTAATACCAGGGAAGGTGGAGTTGGGGACGTTCCAGAGGTATGCAAGGATTCCAAGAAATGAGATTTGCTAACGATGCAAAGACCGTTTATGAGGATGTCAAACCGGTTAGAGATATTGGGAGTGTTTCGGAAAGCAAGAATGCAGAGAATGATTTAGCAGCCGAGAAGCCAATAGGGGAAACCAAGAATAATGTTAAAGACGTTTTAGTGGAAGAAAAATCAAGGGCAAAAACAAGGAATTTGAAGCCTTTGGCGAGCAGCTTCACGGAAGACAAGCAAAAGTTTGTGATAAACAAAGAGGAAATGGTACAAGGAAGGAGAACCGATGATACAATCAATGAATTAGAGTTTCAGTTGATTAGAGAGAAGGAAATTGTGGTTTCAAATGCAGATGCAAGAGAGATTGCTGATGAAAGCGGGCTTCATTTGTTTGATGAGAAGAATCAATCTGGTCAGCAAGACTGGCATTCTTCTTATGGAATTTCTCAAGGTAAAGTTTTTAAACCAATCCTCATAGGAATTTCATGTTTTGGGGTTTCTTTCCTTTACAAATAAGGGAAAATAGCTACGATAAACATATTTAGACAATTGGTTTACATATATGATCATTTTTCAGTAACAACATATCATATTTCGGCTACATAACATAACACAATACAACAATGATATAATGAAGCATAATAAACAGTGATCATTTTTGTAGTTAAATGTCAAAATATGTATATTGCAACTAATTTGCCTTTTTGTTCCCTAGTCCACAAATTCTAATGCTGACTCAATCTTTAGAATGTGCAGGTCATGTGGGTGATGAAGGTGCAGATTATGCAGAGCTTCCCATTTCAAGCATTGCACGTGAATCTACAGATTCTGGAATATCATCCGGAAAGGACATTACAATGCCTTCAAATGGGGTTAGAGCTTAATTTATGTCTTTCAAAGATTAGCTAATTTCTTATGTACTAGCTCATAAATTTCTGGGGGAAACAATCTTTACATCGATTTATTCTCCACATAATGTTCATGGTGAGTCTATTTGCATGCTTAGGCAATATTGTTTGTAGGCTACTCAATTACATTGTTACATTACAAGTTTTACCTAGAATGCCAGAAATTATACGACACTGTTTGCAAAACAACACAGGTAAATTGACATTTAACATGATAAAAAAGAAAGTCTGTTTGCAAAGCGACATAAGTCGATTGACATTTAACAGGATAAAAAAGGAAGTGTACACCAAATGCAATGAAAATAAGAGAATCTATATGTTTCGCAGATTATTGAGTTGTTGGCAATTATTTAGACTGGATATCACTGCTTTACAGATATTGTACCTATCGAAGAAGTGTATTTGTACTTCAATTTGTTTCTATAATGTAGCGTCACGATGGCTGAGTTAATTGATTTATTGCATCTGTAATCTAATGTGATTGATAGCTGAGTTAATTGACTTGCATCTGCAGGTACTGTATGATGAGACGAAAATATGGGCGAAGATCGACGCTATACGAAGTATAGTCGGATACAAAGGCACACCCCACGCAACATGCATAGAGGAACTGAAGGCTCTTTACCTCTTCACAGGTGTGGAACCCCCTACAGTATCATTTAGTGACCCTCCTGATCTCGCACAGGTTAATCACAATCTTCGCTTTCTCATGTCCATAATCGGAGTTAAATTGGACTCGTGAATTGCTGGCGGCTTGTACTTGCAGATATTTGTTGTCCGTTTCCGGTTTGATGTCACACTAAGAGCCTTAGTAGAGTTAGATTGTGTATATTGGTTTAGCATTTGTTTGCTGCAGATGCCAGAAAACCTTTTGATCCAAAGTTTGTGCTCCCCGCAAGCTAGAAACTGTTAAGGTTTCCCATCCTCTGCCATTTCATCGGCAAGCCTCCCGTAGTGTTCTGCAGTCTTGGAAGTCGAAGCTATCTGTAAGAGTTGTATTTTTGGCTGTACTAGTGCAAATTTCTTCTTTGCTTCTCATGTTGCTTTCTTCTGTAGTTCCTTTTTTGGGCTTTAAATCTGTTTACTTAACTTCTTAAGGGTGCGTTTGTTGCGCCGGACTGTCTCGGACTGGACTAGCTGCCGAGACTAAGCTGGACTGGCTTAGACTGGACTAAGCTGGACTAACTTAGTGAAGCGTTTGGTGCAGTCTCGGACTAAGAAGCAGGATAAGAAAAACAGTACTGTTCACCAGATTTGTGTTTGCTTAGACTAGGACTACAAATTTTTGCCATTGTGTAATAGAGTAATGCTACAAATCTCATGATATGGGTTAATTGGAGCATATTTTTGCCATGTATATTATGAATACAACAACAACAACAACAACAACAACAACAACAACAAAGCCTTTTCCCACTAAGTGGGGTCGGCTATATGAATCCTAGAACGCCATTGCGCTCGATTTTGTGTCATGTCCTCCGTTAGATCCAAGTACTCTACGTCTTTTCTTAGAGTCTCTTCCAAAGTTGTCCTAGGTCTTCCTCTACCCCTTCGGCCCTGAACCTCTGTCCCGTAGTCACATCTTCGAACCGGAGCGTCAGTCGGCCTTCTTTGCACATGTTCAAAATCACCGGAGCCGATTTTCTCTCATATTTCCTACAATTTCGGCTACTCCTACTTTACCTCGGATATCCTCATTCCCAATCTTATCCTTTCTCGTGTGCCCACACATCCCACGAAGCATCCTCATCTCCGCTACACCCATTTTGTGTACGTGTTGATGCTTCACCACCCAACATTCTGTGCCATACAACATCGCTAGCCTTATTGCCGTCCTATAAAATTTTCCCTTGAGCTTCAGTGGCCTACGACGGTCACACAACACGCCAGATGCACTCTTTCCATCCAGCTCGTATTCTATGGTTGAGATCTCCATCTAATTCTCCGTTCTCTTGCAAGATAGATCCTAGGTAGCGAAAACGATCGCTTTTTGTGAGCTTCGCTAGATTGCTCCGGTCATTAGTGTGGATAAGTATATAAATGGATAGAGATAGGAAAGCAAACACAAGATGTACGTGGTTCACCCAGATTGGCTACGTCCACGGAATAGAAGAGTTCTCATTAATTGTGAAGGGTTTACACAAGTACATAGGTTCAAGCTCTCATTTAGTGAGTACAAGTGAATGATTTAGTACAAATGACATTAGGAAATATTGTGGGAGAATGATCTCGTAATCACGAAACTTCTAAGTATCGGAGTGTGGTGTCGTCTTGACTTGCCTTATCTGTCTCATAGGTAGATGTGGCATCTTCTCTGGAAGTACTCTTCCTCCATCCAGGGGTGGTATCTTTAACTGGTGGAGATGCACAAGGTAATGTATCAATTTCACTTGAAGCTTACTTGTAGTTTCAGGCTTGGTCAAGCGCGATACAAACCATGTAGTAGGAGTCCCCCAAGTCGCCGAGCTAGGGGGTCTGCTGAAAGAGGTGACAGACAAGGTAAGCAATCAGAGCTCCGACTGATTGTTCACCTTCTCCCCATCTTGCAGCAGCATGAAGGATAAAGAGAAGAAAAATGAGAAGAGATGATATGAGATACTTTTGCTTTTGAAGAAGTAACTTTCCACAGGCTTATTCTTGAACTGAGCTGGAGGGTTTTCTGGTTTCCTCCAGAGTATAAGGCCGACTGAAGAATTTGAGGGTCAAAAACAAGTCCATCAAATCTAGAGTACGTTCCACCCTGCTGATATGGGATACTTTTGCTTTTGACAGAGTAATGAATGTATCGGCACGTGTGCTGTTACGCTTGTCTCCACATGCTTCCTTGTATCCTTCGCACTTGCCCTATCTGTTCCTCAAGCAGATGCGGAATCTTCCCTAGAAACATAAGATGTTGAAGATGAGTACTCGAGAGCAATGCCAGGTAAGTAATCAGGTAAGGGGTTCCAGGCAGTCCGTTCCTGGCTGGAAGCTTGATTCCAAGTGCTGACTGATTGCTCTCTTTCTCCTTGTCTTGCAGGTAAAAACAAGGCCAAAAGAAAAGACAGGGAAAAAGCATGATATGGGATACTCTTGCTTTTAACCCTGATGATATGAGAGATATTCTTGCTCTAGTATAGCTTGTTTGCAGAGGTATTATCGGGGGGAAAGAAAGCTGAATATTTTGAAAGGCTTCGTTGGGAGTGCCCTCTCAGATATGATGAAGGGTTGAGCATTTTTGCAGGTCTGCCTGTCCGTTGGGGATGGAGGTCGACATATATAGGAGTCTCCCTAACAACAAGTAGTAATGCTATTCCTTTACCCTGCTTGGTCATAGCACGGTAGTGGGAGCTGCCAGTTTCACATGTTTTAACTCTGTCAGAGCACTTTGAAAAAGTGGTCTGTGGTATCTGGCTCTCGAGATTCGGAGAACGATGCCTCTTCGATTTTTGAGAAAGCAATCATGCTGGGGGTATGACTCTCGAGATTCGGAGAGCAGTGTCTCTTCGATTTTTGAGGAAGTAATCATGTTGGGAGTCTGGCTCTCGAGATTCGGAGGGCGGTGCCTCTTCGATTTTGGAGCAAGCAATCTTGTTGGGAGTGTTGTCTCGAATGTGAGTAAAGGTTTGGCATGTTTGCTAGTCTACCTTGCCATGAAGCACAAAGGTTGACACACAGGGACTTTCCAATTATCCAGCAATGGTACTGTTCCTTTACCCTCTCTTCGATTTTGAGAAAGTAGTCATGTTGGGAGTCTGGCTCTCGAGATTCGGAGGACGGTGCCTCTTCGATTTTGGAGCAAGCAATCTTATTGGGAGTGTTTTCTCGAATGTGAGTAAAGGTTGGGCATGTTTGCTAGTCTACCTTGCCACGAAGCACAGAGGTTGACACACAGGGACTTTCCAATTATCCAGCAGTGGTACTGTTCCTTTACAGTTGTGGGTAATAATATGGTAGCTAGACCTTCAAAATTTATGTGTCTAAACTTTTGTTAGTGCTGTTTCTTTGCTATTCTTTTACCTTTCTTCTTGGTCAGAGCGATGTAGTGGGAGCTGCAAGCTTCACGTGCTCAACTTTGGCAGAGAACTTTGGCAAAGTTATTTGTGGTACCCATGAGCTATTGTTGCGTGTGGGAAGTGGGTGATTGAACAGTAAGATTCATGTGCTTTCTACTTCACCAGAAGTCTTCGACAGAATGCCCATAATTTCTGCAAAGCTGAGTGTGCGTGTGACAGGTGCTGACAAGGCTAGAAAAGTAGGTGCCTCTTCGATTTCTGAGATCGGCCCTCGTGGTCTCTGAGCAGCCCAGCTTTTGAGAAAGCGAGCGCCTCTTCGATTGATTCGGAGAACGATGCCTCATCGATTTTTGAGAAAGCAATCATGCTGGAGGTCTGGCTCTCGAGATTCGGGGAGCAGTGTCTCTTCGATTTTTGAGAAAGTAATCATGTTGGGAGTCTGGCTCTCGAGATTCGGAGGGCGGTGCCTCTTCGATTTTGGAGCAAGCAATCTTGTTGGGAGTGTTTTCTCGAATGTGAGTAAAGGTTTGGCATGTTTGCTAGTCTACCTTGCCACGAAGCACAGAGGTTGACACACAGGGACTTTCCAATTATCCAGCAATGGTACTGTTCCTTTACCCTCTCTTCGATTTTTAAGAAAGTAGTCATGTTGGGAGTCTGGCTCTCGAGATTCGGAGGACGGTGCCTCTTCGATTTTGGAGCAAGCAATCTTATTGGGAGTGTTTTCTCGAATGTGAGTAAAGGTTGGGCATGTTTGCTAGTCTACCTTGCCACGAAGCACAGAGGTTGACACACAGGGACTTTCTAATTATCCAGCAGTGGTACTGTTCCTTTACCCTTGTGGGTAATAATATGGTAGCTAGACCTTCAAAATTTATGGGTCTAAACTTTGTTAGTGCTGTTTCTTTGCTATTCTTTTACCCTTCTTGGTCAGAGCGATGTAGTGGGAGCTGCAAGCTTCACGTGCTCAACTTTGGCAGAGAACTTTGGCAAAGTTATCTGTGGTACCCATGAGCTATTGTTGCGTGTGAGAAGTGGGTGATTGAACAGTAAGATTCATGTGTTTTCTAATTCCCCAGAAGTCTTTGACAGAATGCCCATAATTTCCGCAAAACTGAGTGTGCGTGTGACAGGTGCTGACAAGGCTGGAAAAGGCTGGAAAAGTAGGTGCCTCTTCGATTTCTGAGATCGGCCCTCGTGGTCTCTGGGGAGCCCAGCTTTTGAGAAAGCGAGCGCCTCTTCGATTTTTGAGATCGGCCTTCGTGGTCTTTGAGCAGCCCAACTTTTGAGAAAGCAAACGCCTCTTCGATTTCTGAGATCAACCCTCGTGATCTCTAAGCAGCCCAGCTTTTGAGAAAGCAAACGCCTCTTCGATTTCTGAGCAGGCGCCTCTTCGATTTCTGAAGCTTCGTCGAGTGCAGATTTTTATAGGGGCTGGCATTAAGTTCCAAAGCACACTTGAATCTCCACCAGTAGAAGCTTCATTCTTGCACTTCTAAGATCTTGATTTGTCCGACCTCTTCTCTCTTCAACACCTTTGAAAATGTCTGGCCCCTCCGACCGTCGTTTTGACTTGAACCTTGTTGAAGAGGCAGCCCCGCCTTCTCCAGACAACATATGGCGCCCATCCTTCGTCTCCCCTACTGGTCCTCTTACCGTTGGGGATTCCGTGATGAAGAATGATATGACCGCTGCGGTGGTGGCCAGGAACCTTCTCACTCCCAAAGATAACAGACTACTTTCCAAACGGTCTGATGAGTTAGCTGTTAAGGATTCGCTGGCTCTCAGTGTTCAGTGTGCAGGTTCTGTGTCTAATATGGCCCAACGCCTATTTGCTCGAACCCGCCAAGTTGAATCATTGGCGGCTGAAGTGATGAGTCTCAAACAGGAGATTAGAGGGCTCAAGCATGAGAATAAACAGTTGCACCGGCTCGCACATGACTATGCTACAAACATGAAGAGGAAGCTTGACCAGATGAAGGAAACTGATGGTCAGGTTTTACTTGATCATCAGAGATTTGTGGGTTTGTTCCAAAGGCATTT